ATAATTTAGCTAAAATGCCCATCATTAAATGTTACCGTTACTGAAAAAAACAAGGTAGACAGTGTCTTAAGGCAACAATCAATAAACAATTTTCTTAACGACAACAGATAGAATCACCGAATAATGAGGAGCGCCGATAAGAAGAAGCTGCAGACGATAAGTCTTCGACCAAATCAAGGCCGAAATTTGTTATGTACGCGCGTATCGCATGCAAATGGTAATGATACGCGTTCGGTGAGATTAAAGCAATGAGGTCGAAAAATCCGCTGCCCTTTTGCTAATGCTACTGCTGCTGCTGCTTACTATCTTTATTGTGGATTCCAATCGATTGCTCAATGGATTAAGTTGCACTTTACGAAATCGATTTACTGTTATTCATTCACGGTTTATGTTTCATATTATTTTGAAATTAAATACGATTCTTTATCAATTGATTAATATATTTATAAATACTTAATCCTAATCCTATATTGAATGGTCACATTAATTAAAAGTAGATTTGTTTGAATGATTTATAATAAAAATTATTATTGAATATCGATTTAGCTAATATTCCAGACTGTTTGAAACTTTACAAGTTAAAGCCACAGAAAAATTAATCTCAAAAAAGATATTTTTAAATGTTATCATTTAGTTTTAGAAATGTTCAAACCGTACTGTAGTGAAACCGGACTAATCGAAGATTTAACAACATGAGGACTAAATGATCGGAAATAATCAATTCTTAATTTTTATTTTAAATGTCCTCAATTAAAAACGAACTAAATTGTAATTAAAACTTAAAAATTGATTCAAAGAAATTAGTAGATAAAATTTTCCTTTTTTTTTTCCTGTTTATTGTTATGAGGTTTTTGAAGTCCTCGATTAGTCCGGTTACAAACTATTGACACAACTGATTATCCGCACTATACGAGGTATTCATGTGCTTCTATTTTGTATATTTTATCTACATAGTTAAATCATGAACGATAAATAAGACTAATTCAATCAAACCTTCTGAAAGTGCGAAAAAACAAATATTAACAGAATTTTAATCCTTTAACAATCTCATAATTTCATCATATTTATTAATTAAAGGTTTTGTTTAAATGATTTATGAAGAATATATAAAAAATATTATTGAATATAGTGCGGATAATAGATATAGCCAATATTCCGGACTGTTTGAAACCGAACTAAATAAAACTACAGAAAAATAAACCGCACAAAAAGATACTTGAGTGAGGAAAATTGTACTAATATTTTCAGAATTTATCTTTATTTTGCTCAATTATCATTTAGTTTGTTGGAAATGTTCAAACCGTACTGCAGTGAAACAGATCGATGCCGCACTATGCGAGGTATTCCTGTACAAACTTAATTTGCTTAAATTGAGCTTAATTGGCTTGAACTTACATATTCAAAGGAATAAATTCATAAAGAAATCCATTAGAATTATTATTTTAAAGTTCAAATTTGTGTAGTTTTCGTCAATCGAAATTAAATTTCACTTAGTTTTGTCAATTGATTTTGTAAACATATGGTGTAATCAATAGATTGCGCCAATATCCCGGACTGTTTGAAACAGGACTAATCGAAGATATTAAAATAGGACAAAAAGATACTTGATTGTAGAGGTGAAAAAAATACGATCATTTATGTAAAATTAAAATAATTTTGTGTACAAATTTTTAAGATTTTTTTTTAATTATCCTCAATTAAAATGTTGTTTTTCTTTCTAAAATTTTCTGACAGATCGATGCGGCACTATACGAGGTATTCTTGTACAAACTTAATTTGCTAAAATTTAACTTAATTGACTTGAACACACATAATCAAATGAATAAATACATATAAAAAATTCAATTTTAAAGTTCAAATTTGTGTATAGTTTTCGCCTTGTGAAATCCCATTTCACGTATTATTTGTACTTCTGTGCGGTTCTTAACAAATACTTTGCACACGAGAAATAAATGATCGGAACTAATCAATTTGTAAATACGGGAAATACAGATCAATTAAAAGTGGACTGTTGTCAATTGATTTCGTAAACATATGGTGTAACCAATCGGTTGTGCCAATATCGCAGACTGTTTTAAACAGGGCTAATCGAAGACTTTAAAATCGGACATATACATATATATTATGAACATATCAATAATATTGTCGTTGGAAATTTTTGATTCCATGACAAAACAGGACAACACTAAAAAAGAACAGTGACAAAACAGAACATCGAAAAACATATTAAAGTTCAAGCAAATGACAAAGATTGACAAAATCCATTTGTTCTTCTTTGGCGTGTTATTATTTTAGTGTTAGCCTGTTTTGTCCGGGCACCCTTTTTTTGTATATATTCAATTTATAAATCAAATCAAAACAATTGAGTAGAACAATTAAAAATAAAAACAAAAATGCTAGAAAATATCTTATCCACTGATAAAACTCTTGTTTATCGTTCTGTGCTTTTTTTTTGTTTGTTGGTATTACGCGCGGGATTTTGTTATTCAATTAATTAGGTAAATATTGTTTGCGCAACATCGACTAATCAATAATGTTCTATAATCAGCTCGCGGATAGCGCGCAGTTCGATTGGAATGTAATTACACGTTTCTTGTGCTCCTATTAAATGCATTTATTTACGTTTGTACGCTGCTGTTTCGGTTTCTTGGCCGTCGCAGCTTTTACTGCTAACTTGGCTAATGAGCAAACGAATATATAATATTATTTTTATGTTTATATTCGCAACATGATGTAACAGTTTAACGAACATTACACGCTCAGTTAACGTTCGATTTTACCTGCAGCAATCAACGCATTGATACAATTTATATTTATAATCAATCAATTTTCATACAATTGTGCAGCAAACCCTTTCGCATAATGCGGATTCACTTTAGTCAACATTTCAAAGAAATTAGTAGATATTGTAACGTGGTAAAATCGTGTTTCCAAAATTCGAGGAGACCGCAGCGAACCGCGGAAGAAGACGGTTGAGGTCTCCAGTTTAAGAAGATATTCTGATATATTTGTAATCTCCAAGAGGACGGTGTAGGTGCTCTAGAGGAGCTAAGGCCCACCGTCGGAGAAGAAGTTGCTGATCTGGAAGCAGTTGTTAGAGTTCTTCCTCTCTATAAAAAGGAAGTGGCGCCCTGAACCTTCCCACGTCACGGACTCACGCCCTAGCGGGTTGAAGATTGGTATATCTTGTTTTTTTATGTACACGAGTGTTATCGTGTTACAATATTTTTTTTCCGCATAAGGATTTATGCGGTTTTAAGTTCAGATATTGGCGGAACCGATTATCCGCACTATGCGAGGTATTCCTGTACTTTTGTTTGTGTATATTTAATCTACACAGTTAAAAAGATAAATGAGACTAATACAATCAAAGCTCTTGAAAGTGCGAATTGGTAACAATGAAACAGAAATATTAACAGATTTGTTGTTCTTTAACAACATATTTAAAATAATCTTAGATAGAATTTATAATCTAAACCGAATTCATAAAAGAAACATATAAGTTGTTAATATATAAAGCTATTAAGATTGAACAAAAGACGTATTGAAATTTAAAACAATTAACAGATTCCAGGTCAAACCAGTGATAAAGATTATACTTTTATCGTCGCAAGATAATATATAACAAGAACATTTGGTTGAAACCAGTTGCAGAGTTAATCATAAGTTTATCTAGTAAAGACTAAAGAAAGGCTCGAATCTATATAAGAAAGCACTCGCAGTTAACATATTAGATAACAACCTTATAAACACAATGACTTTGAATATTTTAAACAATATGAATTACGAATTGAACTTTGTTACTGGATTTATATACTGTGATATAAAAATATTTTGAATTTCATTAACAAAATAGCAAACAAAATATTGTATATATAAATAGAACACACAGTATAAATAAATATAATGACTACTAGATACGAATTTGCATTACAATTTACTTAAATATCTTTTTTTTGACAACAATATTTTTCGGTTTGATAATATTCATAACAACTTTAGTTTTTGAAAAACGTAATATAAAACGAAAAGTTTCAAACTACGCGAATTATGTTATTAGGACACGCAAAGTAAGGTAATCCAATGATTCTCAATCTATGGATCTTTTTAAGTTTTTAATGACAGCTGTCACTTTGCGTCAAAACGTCAAAAAAAAAACGTATAAACAATTGCATCGTTGTGCAACTATAAACAAATATGTTCGGTAAAAAGTTTGAGAAACGTCATGGTAAAAGTTTTGCGGTTAGTCAAATTTTGTTTTTTTTTTAAATTTAATATGAATAAACAAATGGAACAAAGTATAAATAAATATTGATGTCAAACTTTTATAAAATATACAAATGTTAGTTAACTTATTCTATAATAGTTTTGAATTGAACTTTGCTTTAATAAGATATTAATATAATTGTTTTATTAGAATATTAGTGAATTTTACCAATGAAATAACAACAAAAAAAATGTTTAAAAAGGAAGAATTTATAAAATAAATATTGAAATACTTAACAAAAACTCTCTCATTTTATGTTATTATTATAATGAGTAATGTAAACAATTTAAGATTTTCGTTTTTTATTAGAATTTACTTAAGTATTGATGAAAATAGATTTTTGACTACTATTACTCTTTTTCTATAAAGTAATTAATTCATTTACTAATTTAACTTCATTATAATAATATTTAATAGTTTACGGTATGAAATTATCTATACTTAATTTAGAGTGAAAATCTCAAAAATAAACATGTTTTTTAAGCAAAGTAGGGCATTTATCGCTCTATAAGAGATACCCCAAATGTATGAGTCAATTTTTAGAAAATACAAACGACTTGAGGTAGGTCGATTTCTCGAATTAAAAACGTTGCGTGCGTAAAATAGTTAATTCAGAATTATATGAAAATACCTAAATCTTAATGACGCTAAAGTTGACTAAACTTTTAAATTTTTGGTATTTTTATGTGTAGATATTGATTATCGTGTGATGACTAAGTGGGCTACTTTTGTATCTATTCGTGTGAATTCATTGTTGTACAAATATGGATTTGTATTGAATGTTAAAGATGAGTTTAGCGAAATGTAATGTTTGTTTAGATCTTTGAGTTATGCATGTGGATGTAAATGAAAAATAGTTGTTGGTACTTACGGATTTGATCCATCTGATCGTTGGTTCCGGGTAACCGAAGTAGTGAACCTTTAGGAGGACGCGATCACCGACTAAGGCAGCCGTATCTTGAGGTCCCTTGGTGACGATGGGCGCTTCGCCGTCGGCTGTGACTCTGGTCATATCGTCGTCGTCTTCGGCGTGGACACTATCGCTCGCATCACTGGTCTCACCACCACAGTCAACACTGTCACTGAAGAGGGTCAAGTTCGCGTGGCAACTGATCGGACGTCTGCTCCTGCTGCTGCGACGACGCTCACTGCTGGATCTGATCTGCTGCTGCTGCTGCTGCTCCGAATCCAACGGTGCCGTCGTTTGCTGCTGTAGACGAGCGACACAGCGGACACTGCCGGCCTCCTCGGACGTCACTCCGCTTATGTGCAGGACGCTGACGTCTTCGTACTCCTCTACCTGTAATCGCATACCAAAAACAATCACTTTTTAGCGCAAAATAAAAATATAAAGACGACAATGACGACGACCATAGACAGGGACGGACAGAACAGAAACACTCGCCACTACCATTTATAGCCTTTTAACTCCATACGCGATCTCAGCTAATCAAGAAAACCAATTACTCGCAGTGGCATTCATTGTTCCACAATTGAAAAGCATAAACCGCGACCAGGAAGTGCTCGCATGCATTGATCTCCGTACGATCTGTCTCTTCGTGCATCATTATTACAGATCATGGGTCTACGAACCGAATTTCTGACAAACCTCAGAAGTACTTTCGATATTTGCATAAGACTTAGACATATTTTTCAAGTGTTACAATAATAATTATTATTATAAGGCAGACATAAAAAAAGGCTATAATTTACGAAGTTCATATAATCATTATAATAAAAACTTTATGAAATCAACAAACAATGCATTTACACAATGAATTCTAACCTTTCTGCCCTTTCTATATCTATTTTTTTCCCTATTATTTTGATGTATAAAATCATGTACTGTATTTAAAGTCCATATGATAATGATTTTCGACAATTTTATTGGTTCTATCTTTCGGGTCGGCCCGCAAAAACCATTCGTGTCTAATCACTACTTTTTCTTTTGTTAACAGATAAAATTTTCTTTTATCCAAATCTAAACCAATCGAAAATGGACAAACACTGATTCGCATTTCATTTCAAATCTACTAAGAAAAATCTAATTTATTTTAGAAGTAATTGAAAACAAAAACTATCTTAATTAGTACATTTTAATTTAAATAAATGCGACATAAAATTTTCGCGATTGATGAAAATTTAATAAAAACACACCTGCAGCTACGCACGTTTAAACAATCCCTATTTTGGTATGAAAATAGTGCGTTTCGCACACTTGATAAGACAGTAATAGAAATTAGGCAATTGTTTTCAAAATCGCCTTAAATCGTCTCAAAGACTCAGTTGCAGCTGAATCAGCGAATCTCAAACGTGCCGTGAAAATTTTAAAATATATTTAATTCAATTATTTTTCAAAGAGATCCAAGCATATAATTATTAATAATTTTACATTCTAATTATATGACGAATATTATAATAAAATTTACAACCAAAAAATAATATGATGTATATTTAAAATCCAGCTATACTAATTACTTTAAAAAAAAATTGAGAATACACATGAAGATCATTAGAAACGTCACTAATTACGTTTTTTTCATTGAGTTAGATATTATCATCAAATGTCTGGAAAACATTCACAACAAAATACATATTAAGAGTGTTCAATAAATTGAAACTATTAATTAATGTTCTCTCAAAAACAATATACAACAATACTTCATATAGTGCGGGTAATATGTTCCACCAATATCCTAGAAATAGTGTTTGAAATCGGATTAATCGTGGACTTTAAAACCGCTTAAGAATAAACTGCACAAAAAGAGTTTTGACTGTATGAAAGGAAAACGCACTATAATAAATCCGCACTGATCGAAGCCGCACTATGCGAGGTATTTAAATTCGTGTAGTAATTCATTGTTAAAAAGCCAGTAAATCGATTTATACAACTACTTCCTGTCTTCATTTTAAATATTTATATTTAAAGATTATATAATTGTTTTTGTTAAAAGTCTGATAAAACAAACAAATCATGGATTTACACAACTATTTATTTAATTTCTTGAGTTTTATTATGACATACGACCATGTTTATACAAGTTTTGTATAAACTCCTAACGACATATATATTTATTTGCATAGTTTTAACAATCTATTGCAAAAATCATGGAGTGAAATTATAATCTTCATCGTAAAATACCACTGTTTGAAACCGGATACATAAAAAAACCGCACAAAATGAGACTCGACTGTGTAAAAGGAAAACCAAACAATTTTGTATAAAAAAACTGTATTCATTTTTTTTTTTAAATTAAATTTTGAAATTTTCGAAATCGAATTAGTAAACCGCACTATGCGAGGTGTTGTTGCATTCAGATTATTAAAATCTACATATGTACCATTTAAAAACTTTAAAATTTACCAGCTACCATTGATAAACTTCATGACTATTCATTAAATCACGAATATTTAAGTAGGCCAGAATTCTACGAGCTATTTAAATTTCAAGTGTCGCAATATTTAACGGTAACTTCAACGATTTACGTTACAAAAAAAGGCTTAAATATCCAAATAAATGAGGGCTTTCATCCATTACATGCGCCTTTTAATTCGACGGTCATTGACCCGTCTTGCAGACGACAACACTTATGCAACTAAAATATTCCTTAAAATTTTTTTAATGAAAAATTAAAACAAAAAAAAAACTACAATTTTGTTTCAATCTAACTAAATTTGTAATTACTATTTAAAAAACATGACGATTTTTAAGTTTTTCTGCATTTTTTCTAATTCATAGGTCATATAGATTTCATCAACTTTTAATAAAAAAAAAATATAATTATGAAAAAATAATATACATTTTGTTAAAATAAAATCTTTCATTATATTTCAAATTATTAATGAAAATAGTAATAATTAAGAGGAATTTGTTATAAAACTATTTTTTTTTGAAGAAAAAAAGTAATGTATAATATTTTTTTTTGGAAATTAAAGTTTGGGAAACACTTGAGAATTTCGACTGGATTCGGACCAGAGCGAATAAGTTATGTGCATCACGTAATGAATTCTCTGCATGCGACAGCCGCCTTTAATTGCTTCGAATGCAGAAACGGAAAATATTCTGCGCAAATTAAGGCTGAAACGCGACGATTTATTACCATTCAATGAAAGCAAAAGAAACAACAAAAAAAAAACGACAAGAAATTAAAATATAATTGATAAGTATTACATCTCTGATTTTATACGCGTATGTCCAAAAAAATTCAACTCCGTAACCGTAAACAATTCAGTTTGCAACTGATTGATTCTCAAAGAAGAAGTCCAAGCATATTTGTGCAAGAATTTCGTATGCTAATCCCGTAGCCATCGTGGAATTTCAGTGAAACCGAGCGTAGCAAAGAAATTCCTCGATGTTCGCCTTATCCAGAAAGCAGCGAGTTGCAAATACTGTAATTCATGTGCCTAAAAGGATCACAAACATACATGCGCGCAAACATACACACACACACACACACACACACACATCAAAAACGTACTTGATTCATTTGTATGTCTTGTGTAATCTCCGTGAAAAAAGAAAATTTTTTTTTTTTGTTTAATTAATTATAAATGGTTAATTTAAGATATCTCTCATAGTTCGGATTCAATCAGTCCGGATTTTAATTGAACAAAATGAAAATAAATTCTAAAAAAATTAGTACAACAAATCTCTTTTTGTGCAGACCTCGATTAGTCCGGGGTATTGACTGAAATGATTAACGGTTTCAATGAGTCCGGGATATTGACTGAACCGATTACAGGCACTATGCGCGGTATTATTGTATATGAAAATATATTGAAGAGTTAAAAAATATCATACTTTATTGGAAGTAGATGTGATTATTTTAAATTTGTATACACGAAAATAGTCAAGTTTCGTTTTGTGTATTCCTCGATTAGTCCGGTTTCAAACACTCCGAGCTTAAACGATTCATACTTTATTTGAAGTAGATGTGATTATTATACAATTTTATATACGAAAATAGTCTAGCCTCTTTTTGTGTAATCCTCGATTAGTCCAATTTCAAAGAGTCCGAGATATTGAGAGAAACGATTCACACTTTGTTTGTAATAGATGTGATTATTATACAATTTTATATACGAAAATAGTTAAGTCTTTTTTTGTGCAGTCTTCGAATAGTCCGGTTTGAAACAGTCCGGGATATTGGGGTGAAATGATTCATATTTTGTTTGAAATAGAGTGTTTATTATAATATTGTGTAGTCCTCGATTAGTCCCGTTTCAAACAGTCCGGGCTTAAACGATTCATACTTTGTTTAAAGTAGATATGATTATTATACAATTTTATATACGAAAGTAATCAAGTCTCTTTTTGTGTAATCCTCCATTAGTCCAATTTCAAAGAGTCCGGGATATTGAGCCAAACGATTCACACTTTGTAATAGATGTAATTATTATAAAATGTTATATACGAAAATAGTCGAGTCTCTTTTTGTGTAGTTCTCAATTAATCCGGTTTCAAACAGTCCGGGATATTGGGGTACATGATTCATATTTTGTTTGAAATAGATGTGATTATTACAAAATTTTTATATACGGAAATAATCAAGTCTCTTTTTCTGTAATCCTCGATTAGTCCAATTTCAAAGAGTCCGGGATATTGAGGTAAACGATTCACATTTTGTTTGTAATAGATGTGATTATTATACAATTTTATATACGAAAATAGTCAAGTCTTTTTTTGTGCAGTTTTCGAATAGTCCGGTTTGAAACAGTCCGGGATATTGGGGTGAAATGATTCATATTTTGTTTGAAATAGATGTGATTATTACAAAATTTTTATATACGGAAATAATCAAGTCTCTTTTTCTGTAATCCTCGATTAGTCCAATTTCAAAGAGTCCGGGATATTGAGGTAAACGATTCACATTTTGTTTGTAATAGATGTGATTATTATACAATTTTATATACGAAAATAGTCAAGTCTTTTTTTGTGCAGTCTTCGAATAGTCCGGTTTGAAACAGTCCGGGATATTGTGGGAAACAATTCACACTTTGTTTAAAATAGATGTGATTATTATACAATTTTATATACGAAAATAGTCGAATCTCTTTTTGTGTAGTTCTCGATTAATCCGGTTTCAAACAATCCGGGATATTGGGGGAAATAATTCATATTTTGTTTGAAATAGATGATTATTACAATATTTTTATATACGAAAATAATCAAGTCTATTTTTGTGCAGTCCTGGATTATTACAATATTTTTATATACGAAAATAATCAAGTCTTTTTTTGTGCAGTCCTGGATTAGTCCCGTTTCAAACAGTCCGGGATTAAACGATTCATACTTTGTTTGAAGTAGATGTGATTATTATACAATTTTATATACGAAAATAATCAAGTCTCTTCTTGTGTAGTCCTCGATTCATCCGGTTTCAAACAGTACGGGCTTAAATGATTCACACTTTGTTTGTAATAGATGTGATTATTATACAATTTTATATACGAAAATAGTCAAGTTTCTTTTTGTGTAGTTCTCAATTAATCCGGTTTCAAACAGTCCGGGATATTGAGGGAGACGATTCATATTTTGATTGAAATAGATGTGATTATTATAATATTTTTGTATACGAAAATAGTCAAGTTTGTTTTTGTGTTTTCCTCGATTAATCCGGTTTCAAACAATCCGGGATATTGGGGAAAATGATTAATATTTTGTTTGAAATAGATGTGATTATTATAATATTTTTGTATACGAAAATAATCAAGTTTCTTTTTGTGTAGTCCTCGATTCATCTGGTTTCAAACAGATGTGATTATCATACAATTTTATGTACGAAAGTAGTCGAATCTCTTTTTGTGTAATCCTGGATTAGTCCGATTTCAAAGAGTCCGGGATATTGAGGAAACGATTCACATAATCAAGTCCCTTTTTTGTGTAATTCTCGATTCGTCCGGTTTCAAACAGTCCGGGATATTGGGGGAAACAATTCACACTTTGTTTAAAATAGATGTGATTATTATAAATTCTGTATATACGAGAATAGTCAAGTTTATTTTTGTGTAATCCTCGAATAGTGCGGTTTCAAACAGTCTGGGATATTAGCTTAAACGATTCATACTTTGCTTGAAGTTAACATTTCTCGGATGCGAAAAAGAAGCGTAGGAAAAGTACTAAATTTTAAAATGATGCGTATGTATGTATGGATTGGAAGAACGGAGAAGGGAAAAATAAAGAGTATATTACCAATTAAAGGATTCATAGATGGATCGAGACGTAGTTAATTTCTGAAGCAAATTCGCCAAGGCTATAATGTTGCGATAGAGCTGAGCCACAGCCGAAGCCGGAGTGAAGTGACATTGGGATTATTGTATTTTATGAAACACATCATAGGCGTGTATAACTTACATTGTCATCGTAAATAAATTAAGCGACGTTCGTACGTACGTACTATTTATTTCAATGATCGGATAATTCTATTCGTCTTTCATCGAACGCTAATCGTTCGCTCTCCTGACGACCCTGCACTGATGAAACAATCGTTTACTACGATCCAACGACAACATCTACTTCATTGTTTTCCATTGCTAGATTCGTATTATTTAACTAAACTTATGTAATGCATTCACAGATTAATGAAGAGTACAAATAAATGATTCTAAATGTTTGTTTTCTAATTAAGCTTTAGTTACTAAAGTTTAATAAAAGCTTCATATACTTATCATTGAGAGGTCTGACATAATATACTCTAAACCAATAATTCTTAACAGGAGGGCTACGAAAATATACTTTCTATAGACATTATACTTTCATTTGTTTATTTTTTTAAGAAATATTTTAGTTAGTGACAATCTGATAAAACTTTTTTTCATTCTAACTAAATCTATGCAAGGAAATGAACACAATATTTTTATTCGAGATAAAATAGAGACGACGAAAATGAAACTTTGTAAATGGATTCAAAGAATAGAATCAAATTATTATGGAATTATTTCAGATAATTGTGAATTTGATAAAGAACATACAAATTATTTAATTCAATCTCATCTCTAAATTAACTAAAAAATTCACATATATTTTCCAAATAATAAACTTGATAGCAGAAAATTCTGGATTTGAGATCCTTACAAGTTTGAATTGACTAGCCGCGACTACGAAAAGGAAAAGAATCACTGTTCTAAATCATTGTCGAGGTTAAAACAAACGTGTTGTTATAAAATAACATAATTCACAAATCACACGTCAATCAAATTTAAACTGAGATAGCCTTGATACAATAAAAATGACATGAAACAAAATGGTAACGTTTTTTTTTCATGACACTTAGAAATATTCCATTCCAAATTACTTATTCAAGTATAAATGATGTAGAAATATCTTTCAAAATCATACACGTTAAGTTATAAGAAGAATTTGTGTACTTTCGAACAGATAAAAATGAAAATATCTTTGTAAATTCATTTAAAATCATTTTCTAAACAAGGATTTATGAATAAACATTAGTAACGTCATTAGGGATTAATTGTGAATTAAACTAAGTGTACGAACAAGATGTTTTCTTTCGAAAGACTCAATCACCTCAATTATAAGGTGTTAATTATTTTATCTACTTTTACTTATTAAATATAATGAAAAAAAAAGACAGATTTGTATGTGCCATATAATCAATGATTATAAATTTTAGTATAAATGTCATAAAAGAAGCGTTACCATTTCGTTGATCCGCCATTTATTTGTATGTTACATTTATAAGGTTTTTATTGTACATTTGTTTTATGTGAAAAATCAAATTTTATTATGAAATGTCAATCGAAATAAGAAAGTGAGATTAAGTTAAGAGAAATTAGGAAAGATAATATATTAGAATAATGAGATTTTCACATAATGTTATAATTTAATCTTGTTTTTTTTATACACTTATTATATTAGAATCTCAAAATAATTAAATTATTTGTTTTTTTTTCTCATTGAATATTTGGTTACCATAGTAATGTTACTGTCTTTTTTCTATCAAATAGACGTACAACAGATGTCGTTATTTAAATATATACAAATGTAATCTATGACGCAAGAAAGGTAGAGATAATATTTAGTTATTAGCAAATATAATCTACCTCAAAGTGAGTATTAGACTTTGAACAAAAATTTCTGTTTTAGATACAATATACACTGAACATTCGATTCAGTGAATATTTGATAAGCAACCCTTGATATAGCAAACAATTTTAGTTTTCTGTCATTCGATACAGTCACCTTTGATATTATCCTTCTGAGAAAAAATCGAGAAAAAGCAGTTTTTAAAAAGTTTGAATAAACTTTGTATAACGTTCTTTCGATAATAAAATCTCATATTACCGTTAAAATATTTGACTTTAATTATTTATTTATTTTTTCAATTTTGACTACTCATATTGTTTTTTAATTTTGTATTCAGCCAAGGTGACTATATCAAGTGTTCACTCTACTATATATTTTAATGAAATTGATATTTATTTGCAAATCTTTACAAATCGATCAAAGAATGAAATCAAGAACATTCATTAATTAACTATTACATTTAACCTTTTTGAATTGAGAAATAATTGTAAAAGTTGTGAAAAAAAAGCTACAGAATAACATTATTCTTATAATTATAAGTTTGTCTGTAGACAAGATATTCGTAACAAAGTTCTTTTTTCTGGATGTAACAATCATTTTCAAAATGTATTGCTTAGATTTATATTAATCATTTCATTGATTTATTGATTTCAGTTATTAAAAAAAAATAATTGTAATGAACTATAATAAAACTGAATGTTCTCTGAAAGAATAGTAATTAAAAATAAGTTCAAAGAATTTGAACCTGATCATCGATGAACTGTTTTTGGTTAATAGCGTAGGTCGTGTTTGGTAAATGGTATAGGAAATCGGTAATTAGGATTTATCGTCGGAGAGATAGAATTTTCCGTTTTATCGAACGAAACCTAAATACGCCATACGCCATAACGTTGTCGCTTGATTAATTGTTCAATTAATTAACTGTTGCAGGCGCAGTAATTCAATCTTGGATGAGGAACACAGATAAGTCCAAATATGGGAACGAAACCAAATATATAACCAAGAGATGATTCTTTTCCCTTCTACATAAACATATAATAATAACAACAACAACAAGAACGAAGCAAACAAATAAAGAGCAGAAAGAAAAAATATATGCGAGGACCTCTTTACTTTTCGGTCGCAATAACTCATCCATCCCGATCCGAGCGACGATAAGAATTTGATTTATTGAAGGCATCAGGATTTGCTTGCATTAAAACCCATTTGCCTGTTTACCGTTTCGACCAAATGATAATAACACGTTCAAGATAAGCATCGTAGCTCCTTACATCTTTCTTACACATTTCATTTGCTCTTCGCCGCAGCGAACTTTTTAACATTTTAATTGTGATTGCTCGAAGACAATGTCGATCTCGGATAACTCGAGTACAACATCTGCGATTTGTTTACGCAATTAAAAACGGCTGCGATTCGTTAAATAACTCACTCGACGCAGACCCATGCGACGTTCCTGTTTATTTAATTTTTTCATTAACATTCTGCACGATGAAAGTCGCGTTATTTTTGCTGTTGCTCATTGAATCAAAGGGGGTAAATAGTGCGGAATCTCACCTTGTATTTGCCCGAAGTGCAGACCTTCTGTCCGGCCACCTCCCAGCTGATCACGGGCTTCTCGTCGCCGTCCTCTTTGTTGCTCTTAACTCGAGCGCAGAACGAAGCGTCTCCACCGATTGGGATGAAGACGGAGTTCGGGATCTTCGTGAATTCCAAATCGGTGTTTGCATTTTCTAAAATCATAAAGACATTTGTAAGCATTTCTTGTTATATTTTCTTTTCAGCAATATTTACGTTAAGATCTGTCAAAAGTGACAATTTGTTTTAAGTCATGGAGACAGATGACAGTTAAAGTGAAGTTACAAATAAATAATTTCATTTTAAATTTGTTTAGATATGCTTTTCTGCTATGTATACCAACATAAATAAATAATATAACTATGTAAAATTACTTGCCTAAGTTATTTTATACCACCTTTATACTTTTCGTGTTACCAACTTAATAATAACCATATTTGTTACTATTAAAAAGTATGTGAAAATATTATTAATAAATTAATAAAAAAAACATACAATCAATTAGTAAGTAGTAAAAGATAACATATAAAAGCAGACAAAATACAAAAAACTACACTGATTATCAATAATTGGAAAAGCGTTAATTAGTTTAAGCTAATTTATAGGTAACATTTTTTAATAGTAGATTTACAAAGAAAAATCAATTGAAGAAAACCAAATAAAATAAGTTTAAATACGTTTATTTGAAATTAAACTATAAATTTTGAAATTTTGATGTTGTAATTTGGAAATACAGTGTTAAGAAAAATAATCAATTCTATGATCATGATTCTTCTATATGTACACAAAACTAAACCTAAAATGGAGAGAAAGATAATTTGGACCGAAGACATAATTAATACTTGCAATTGTGTTTTTAACTGTATATTATATCAGCGTTTCGGGTTTCGTTGTTTAATGAAATGACAGCTGTCACCTTGTGTCAAAGTGTCAACTACAATAGTTGAGAAACGCTGCTATACATGACGTCCAATATTGGCTTGTGTTAAGTGTGACTAGATGAATTTGTACATTTTGAAAATAAGTTTCGATGTAGTGAATAGTGTTTAATTACCTCTGACGATTAGGGCGCATTTGGACATGGCTTCTCCGTAAGGATTGTAGACTTCGCACCTGTAGTTCCCTGCATCTTGTGGGAAAGTGTCTTGGATGTGAAGAGACACGTTTCCATTTCCGTCGTCGATGTAACGGAAATCCTCGCAATCGGGAAGAACGCATCCATCCTTCATCCAGATCACGTCGTAGGGTTTGCTTCCTGCGACGCGTACTGCGAGGGTGACCGAAGAACCTTCAGCCACATCCTTGATTTTGGGTAGACCTTCGATTATTTCAACGCCATCCATGTCGTTGCTCTTCGTTTCGCATATTTCCGTTTGATTAGAGTACTGCTTCCTGCTGTACGGCGCAGAAAGAGCGCGCGTCTGCCTGGAGCTGGTGTAGCAGTACGGATTGACGTAGCTGTACCCGACAACGTACTTCCTCTTCGGCGAAGAGCTGCGCGCCCTGAAACCTTCTGAGCACGGCGGGAACCGAGCAATGACATCTAAACGAGCCGTCGCCTCGACCCTTCCCGCAGTATTCTCTAAAGTGACCCTATACAATCCTGCATCTTTGGTGGTGATCTCGCTTATCTCCAGAATCCTGAGATCGTCCTGCTCCTTGATGGACACCCTCGGCGTCTGATTGAGGACCTTACGGTCCTTATCCCAGACGGTGTAGGGATCCGGGTATCCGGCGACGGCGCACTGGAACCGGACCGTCGCTCCCTCCTCGACAACCTTGTTGTGCGGAATCGCGAAGAACTTTGGTGGTACTCCTCGAGAACTCCTCGTTCCTTGGAACTGCCTCCTGGGTGTAACGTCCCGTTGTCTGGGTCTGGGAGAAACGCTGCGGGCAGGAGTAACTCTGGGTGTTGCGCTCGACGGCGTCAGACCGGCTGGACAGCTCAAATTCTCCGACAATAAATTGTCCCTCTCCTCAGGCACTGCAAAACGGGGCAAAGATATTTATTTGTGTGCGTGTTTTATTGCCTCCATCGATCCGCTAATTATCGCGCATTCCCCATTGTGAACAATTTGAACAATTCTTACCGTCGACGACCAGGCAGGCCGAGGTTGATGCCTTTCCGAGATCGTTGTAGGCTACACAGGTGTACTCCCCTTCGTCCTCTGGATACACATTGGCAATACGCAATCTCGCAACGCCGTCCTCGAAAGTCGCCTCAAAGTCACCGCCCAAATGTACAATCTGACAAAAAAAATCAAATGCAATCAAAGTCAAAAAAATTTCTTTAATTATTTGTTATTTACCTTTCCGCCCTTTTCCCAACGAACGTTAGGTGGTGGAGTTGCGTCTACTGTGCACTCCAAAGACACGGAATCACCGTCGCAGCATCTGATATCCCTCAGTTTCTTAACAACCGTAGGATGCGTTTGCACGTTTCTAGAACAATTATAATTATGTTAGCTTCACCGAAGAAACGATAACTCGTACAAATCTTACCCAATCCTTCGGATGCTGTAATTTCTGTCGTCCAGAATGTCTGCGAACGAAACAAATGTAAAATAAAAATAAGAAACTTAAAAGAGAACAACAGGTAAACTGACTTTTTATTTATTTGTAATGTTTTAATTAACGAAATTTACGATGCTATTTTCGGTGCTCCTCTCGCGATGGGATTTATATTTCATTGTGCATGTTTATTCGTCGTTTCAAATATGGAGTGAAATTGCTATTCCGGCTTTTAACATCCTTTCCAATTTAATAAAAATGACAATAACAATAATAATAATAATGATGATGGTGCCGAAAGGAAAGGGGACAAGGCAAGGAAGAGGTGAAGGAAGGAAAGAAGGTCGGAATTCTTTCAGGAATGTCGATCGAGACGAACGATAAGGATGCTTGCTTGCTTGATTACCTTTGGCCTTAATTTGCAACGAAATTATGGCTTTGGCGTCGCCGTGGCAATTCTTCGCTAATACCGTGTAAGTGCCCGTGAAGTCCAATTTGGCCTGGGGTATCTCCAAACGGTACTCGGAACCTTCTCCGATGCGATGGAAATGCGCCGCGTCTCGGTAATATTCCGGCTGGAAAAAAGAACAACGAAAATTATTATATCAATTTAATATACTAATAATAAATAATTCAACCGCATTCTATTCTTCAGAACTACAATACAATAATAGTTATATAATACGATTATAATAAAATGTCATTCTTTTACTGTTTTAAAAAAATTTCATTGAATTGAAATCGAAATTTTAATTATCATTTATACTATTACTTATACTATTTTGACATAGGTGCAGTATTTTTTTTTTTAAATATATGGACATATGTCAAAAATAATAAAACTCTGACAATCGAAATTTGACATTCATTGACATATTGATATATTATATAATGATCTATCAATGTATGTAGAATGTAATGTTAATTAAAAAAATAGTAACGTTTAAAATACAAAATGACATTTTTCTTAACCTGTCTTTTTTATAAATAATTATTGTGTAAATTGGCGGTTTAATAAACAATTTAAATATGACATTTGATAAAGTCAATTGACGTTTCATTAAATATTTAAAATATTTAAAATTTTTGAAATATTAATAATAAATGAACTGACTAAAAAATTTTAAATAATAAGTTAATAATAATATATAATAAAATTCAAGAATAATTTGAACCAAAAATGTCTGAATATCAATGAGTATGGATATTTGTACGTTAGTACTGTCATTTAATAATCATGTACTTATTATCGAACGTACTTTAAAAGGATGCACGTTAAGTTAATATGCAGTCAATATTGTTATAATGATGATCGTAATTCGATTACGTTAATGCATGCCATCTGCAGTCCGCGAGAAACGTCAAATTAAAATTGATGATGATGATAAAGATGAAGATCTAAGCGTGCTTCCAGCAATGGACGTGATGTACGGTAAGCATCATCGGCAGCCGTATTTGCGTTGCTCTGGTTACATTGCATCTTCACCGTGCAAAGATGAATAGTTGGGTAAGCCGCAGCCGGAGTTCAGCATCCAATGGAGCATGAATGACGGAGTGGAACGGTTTATAAAGAACAAGAAAGAATTTTATGTGCATTTAATTGGTTCTGGCCGATTAGCTCCGATCCAATGCAGGAGCAGGATTTTATTTACTGTTGCATTCAATTAGCCATATATATGAAATAGTCGACGAGATTTACAATATATGTTTATTACAATGCGCATTCCGATCGAGCGCGCCCGGCATTTACATGCGACCAAAATAAAAATCCCGAAGAAGAGGACTAACTACTACCAGGACACAGCAGCAGCAGCAACGACAACTGTTGCAGTTGCCGTTTGGCCGTATTTCACGCTCGTCCTCGACGGATTTAGTGTTGAAGTCCATCTGCGATAAATCGAAATTGTCCGCTATCTTTTCATACACGCAAGCGTTCTTTCGTAATTCGCAGAACACCTCTGATGTTACGAGCACACCAAAATATACAGGGATCACACGAAATTATTAGATTACAGAGTCAAGATTTGCAACAACAATAACAGATGATTAACCTTGCGCATCTGCTGCGTCTCGTATAATTAAGTGCGAATCGTAATAGAGAACACTCAATATACGTTGCGTAATTGTGTATTAAGAAGTCATTTGAATGTTATTTGCGCTTGGGAAATGGTGTGAAAGAAAACAGAAAAGAATACGATCCGATACACCAACTGTTAGAAGATTAATTAACAGGTCATTCTGATCAATATATTCTATTACATATCAATAATTAAATTACTTCCTGGAATTTAGTTAGCAGACTGCAAGCGAGTAATTAAAAGAAAGTACAATAAATAACATTTCTAGTATAAAGAAACTAGAGCCGTTCCGCTTCTTACACATCTTACAGATTAAAATTACTTAAACCAATTAATCAAAATAACATGTAAAGCGATATAATGTATAAAAACAACTATAAATATTTTTTTAACAAAAAATACAAAATAAAGAAATAATTAATAATAACAAATACGAATAACAAATAAAATATGTAGTAGTAGTCAAATTGTATCTAAATCAAACAGACTTGTTCGAAACTGCGTTATTTCAACAACAGCTATAGAATTGCCAGACAATAATTATAGTCTAGTTATAGTCAACATCCGAAAAGTTTGTGCGTCGATCTGGAATACGTAAAATTAGTTGTGATTTTAATCAATCATAAATTTGTTTATTAAGTAATGTACAGTCAAGTGCACTTAAAACTTATATAGCCAATTGTATATGTAGCAATGCCATAATATCAGTACTTGCAACAATAAGCCTTATTTCAATTGATCCAAAACTAAAGAGATTAATTACTAAATTAATTTTTGACGTAATCTCATCCAACGACATTTTTGGGGATCGACGAAATGATTTTCTCGTTTTAACAAAATATAACAATCTGCGCCATACTTGTCAAGTTTTTTGTATTTGGCAACTTGTACAAGTACTTTTATTTAATAATAACATAAAGTTAGTAGTCTTTGATCTAGATCAGAGTTTCCCAAACTTTTCCTGTAACAAAACACTTCGTAAATCCTGAAATTTTCACAAAACACCTTATTCTAGATCATTGTTATATGTTTTTTTTTTCTTTCTTTAAAAAATAGAATCGAACAATTTCACTTAAATTATTTTGAATTGCCTGTTATCAGATTTTAGTTATAATTGGTAATACATCTTTATGTGCAACATTAATTTCAATTTCTGAGTCCAATTTTTTTTACTGAAATTACCGGTATTTTTTTATCAGAATTTACCGGTAATCATATTCGCCGGTAAAACAATCGATCACGACTTTCTATTTTTTTTAATAGCTTTCTACAACATTCAATACATATTCACCAAACCAAATTCTATATTCATCAAACGTTGTTTAAGAAGTAAAACATTAATAGTTTAGTACATTTTTTCTTTAAATTCTCTATTCTACAATAAATATTGATTTGAATCACCAAATGTTATTGTTTCTACTATAGAAATGTTAACTCATGACTAATTATGTAATTTTCTTTTATATCTCATTTTAATATTATGATTATGAAAGATGTCATAAGAGATTGTCTGTTAGATTTAATGTCACCAGACTCCTGTTACTACACCTGGTACAGAGTGTTAATAGAGTGCGAATTTCTAAAACAATATAAAATGAATATTAAAAATGTGTATTATATTGATTTAGAATTATTTTCTAATAGTTGCATGCGTTCGAATTGAACAGTTGCATTTCGAAGTCGGAATACTTAAATTCAATAAAAGGCAAGCAGGCCGTGTACTCGCTTATGAAAATGTTTTGATTCTTTCGCCTCGGATTTATTTCATCGATACAATATAACTTGTTTTACAATGTCGTTTAAAATCATTGCCATATAACTCAGGTTACCAAATAGTAGGTATGTGTGTACGCGTATACGTATGTGTGTGTACAAGCACTCTGAAATTGGTCCCGTGACTTTAAAATTCGCAATCGCGAAATAAATACGTCTAGTGCGCGAAATCGAGCTCCGCTCAAGCACGTTCACGCGCGATCAGCTGTTTCCATTTTTTTTCACTTGTTCTCTTCTTATTCTGCACCGATGCATCTTCTTCTTCTTCTTCATCATCGTGTTTCTTTTTTTTTTCATCCTTCATCTTCTTCTCTTTATGTTTATTCCGTTCTTCTTGTTCTTCGTCTTCCTCCAACTCGCGCTCCGTTTCTCCGGTCTAAGCCTCGACTCGCGCCATAAGTTCGATCCGAATTGAATTTGGCGGGTTCGCGGTCCAGCGACGACCCGGAAACCCGGTCGAAGCGGACGCGCGACCCGGAAATGAGAGGTCGCGTCCGGTCGCATTGCTTCCGGGTCGTCCGTTGCGCCGCTGTTTGACTGTAGCTCCATCTCCGTCCGACGGTCGGACTGTCCAGAGCGCTGTCGCTCTCGTCGGCAGGAAAAAATATTTCGCCAAAAGGAAAGTAGAATTTAGAACGATGCCCGACATCTAAAAATATTTGCTTTATTCAGAGAACGCACTATCATTTCTCCCCGACACCGTTTACGCGCTCCGCATTGTTACTAACTCTTCGCCTCCATTCAAATGAAACAGTTCTTCGCACCGGACAATTATGATTCACATTTTAACCTAATTGTTCTGACACTTAACTTGTCAATATTAATCTGTCATTGACATCTTGGTTAAATTATAGAATTACACATCTAATGTCAAGCCAAAAGCCTCATCTAACTGTATGATAACTTTTTATTCGTTAAACAAGTTGGTACAAGTTTGTCAACATGACTAGTAGGGCGGTGGTACGCTCATTGTAACACTCTCAATGTGATCGTAGTTAAAATATAGAATTACTCATCTAACATTAAGCCTAAAGTCTCATCTAAGTGTATTATTTGTTAAACTATACATAAATCTTTGAGGGGTGGTGGTAACCAAAATGTACCACCTTTTGAACATGACTAGTAGGTCGGTAGTACGCACTTTGTAACACTCTCAATGTAATCGTAGTTAAAATATAGAATTACACAACTAACATTAAGCCAAAAGTCTCATCTAAGTGTATTATTTGTTAAACTATACTTAACTCTTTGAGAGGCGGTGGTAATCAAAATATACCACCTTTTGAACATGACTAGTAGGTTGGTAGTACGAGCATTGTAACACTCTCAATATGATCGTAGTTAAAATATAGAATTACACAACTAATATCAAGCATAAGTCTCATCTAAGTATATTATTTGTTAAACTA